CCCCCCCTCTCTCTCTCTCGCTTCTTCTTCTTCTTCTTCTTACATGGCGCCTCAAGCCTCATTCTTCTTTCTAATGGCGTTTGAGTTTCCTTTACCAGTTTCTCTCTCTTGTAAAACGTGTCTTTCTCTCTAGCAAAACCCTCTCCCGTCTTAGGATTTTCTTATCTGTCTCTGTCTCCGGCCATGGCGTTTCCCGCCTTTTTGCTGTGTTTTTTCTTGTTCCTGTTTCTGGTCTTCTCTGCCTCGACCTCCATTGATGAAGCTAGCTCGGAAACGAACTCTCTGGTTTCGTTCAAACTTTCGCTTGAGAACCCACAAGTCCTTTCTTCGTGGAACAGGAAGTCTCCGGCTTCGTCTCACTGCGACTGGATCGGCGTTACGTGTCAGTTCGGCCAAGTCCACTCTCTCTCTCTCCCCGCTATGTCCCTCAGAGGTCGTCTTTATCCTTCTCTTTTCTCGCTCCGGTTTCTCACAATTCTCGACTTGTCGGAGAATTCTCTCTCTGGCGAGATTCCGCCGGGAATTTCGAGGTTGAAGGGTTTGAAACAACTCTCTCTGGGCGGAAACCGATTCTCCGGGATGATTCCAGCGGAAATCGGTGGGTTGGCTCAGCTCGAATCGCTTCAACTCGGTCCCAACCTTCTCTCCGGTCCAATCCCCCCGGAGCTGGGGAGACTGAAACGGCTTCAGAATCTCGATCTCTCCGGAAACTCGCTGACCAGAACGTTTCCGAGTGGGCTCGGCGAGCTGACTCATTTGCTGTACCTGGACCTAAGCGACAACTATCTCTCAGGTTCCCTTCCTCCGGCTATCTTCTCCAACTTTCCAGCTTTAACCTCGCTTGATGTATCGAACAACTCATTTTCGGGGGAAATCCCGGCGGAAATCGGAAAACTGAGCTACCTTTCCGATCTTTACATGGGTATGAACAAGTTTTCCGGGACGATCCCGCCGGAAATCGGCAAGCTATCGTCGCTCGAGAATTTTCTCGCCCCTTCATGCTCCATAACCGGACCATTGCCCAACGAGCTCTCTAAGCTCCACAACTTGACGAAACTCGACCTTTCCAACAACCCATTGAAGTGTTCGATCCCGAAATCCATCGGAAATTTGCAGAAACTGAGCGTACTGAATCTGGTCTACGCCGAGCTTAACGGGACGATCCCCCCGGAGCTCGGTAACTGCAAGAACCTTAAGACGTTGATGCTTTCCTTCAATTCACTGTCTGGATCACTGCCGCATCAGCTATCAGAAATTCCTCTGCTAACGTTTACATCAGAAAAGAATCTGTTTTCAGGTCCATTGCCCTCTTGGATCGGCAAATGGAAGGAGCTGGATTCGCTTCTGCTGGCAAGCAATCGGTTTTCAGGGGAAATTCCTCAGGGGCTTGGGGATTGTCGAAAGTTGAAGCATCTTAGTTTGAGTAATAACTTGTTGACTGGTCCGATTCCTCGGGAGCTCTGTGATTCAGGTTCTTTGTTGGACATTGATCTTGCCGGGAACTTCCTGTCAGGAACCATCGATGGCGTCTTTGTAGGGTGCAAGAATCTAACCCAGCTGATTCTTGTGAATAATCAGATAAATGGTTCCATACCTGAGTATCTTTCTCAGCTTCCATTAATGGCGGTTGACTTGGACAAGAACAACTTCACCGGGGAAATCCCCGTGAACCTCTGGAAATCGGTAAACTTGATGGAGTTTTCGGCTTCTTATAATCATCTAGAAGGTCATTTGCCTGCAGAGATTGGCAATGCAGTTTCACTGGAGCGACTCGATCTCAGTAATAATCGGCTGAAGGGTGAAATACCTAGAGAGATAGGAAAGCTTACTTCTTTGTCATTCGTGAACCTGAATTCAAACTTGTTCAAAGGGAAGATTCCAGTCGAGGTGGGGAATTGTACTGCACTGACTACCTTGGATCTCGGCAACAATAATCTCAATGGGTCGATTCCCGACGAAATCACTGGTCTTGCACAGCTACAATGCTTGGTTCTCTCCCACAACAGTCTGTCTGGACAGATTCCATCGAAGCCATCGGCCTATTTCCATCAGACCGAGATGCCTGATTTGATCTTTGTTCAGCACCATGGGGTGTTTGATCTCTCCTACAATATGTTGACAGGCCCCATACCACAGGAACTTGGTAACTGTGTGGTTGTGGTGGATATTCTGCTTAGCAACAATCAGCTTTCGGGGGAGATTCCGGCTTCACTCTCTCGTTTGATGAATCTCACAACATTGGACCTATCCGGAAATGCCCTTTCTGGCTCTATCCCAGAGGCGATCGGCAATAGTCGTAAATTGCAGGGCTTGAACTTGGGAAATAATCAACTCGCTGGCTCTATACCTCAAAGCTTTGGCCTTTTGGATAGCTTGGTTAAGTTGAACTTGACTGGAAACAAGCTGAACGGATCAGTTCCTGCTTCTATTGGGAAATTGAAGGAGCTTACCCACTTGGACCTGAGCCACAACGAGCTAACTGGTGAACTCCCTTTAGCCTTGTCTGAGATGCTCAACCTTTTGGGCATTTATATTCAGCAGAACAGCTTCTCTGGCAGAATAGACGATCTCTTCTCTGGCTCCTTTGCATGGAAAGTTGAGAGTATGAACTTCAGCAACAATCTCTTTGGGGGCAGCTTGCCAGCGTCATTGGGGAACTTGTCTTATCTGATTTTCCTAGATCTCCATGGCAATAAGTTCACTGGAGAAGTCTCTTCAGGCTTCGGCAATCTTATGCAGCTCGAGTACCTGGATGTTTCTCTGAACAGGTTATCTGGACAGATACCAGAGAAAGTTTGTGCTTTGCCCAATCTACATTTCCTGAGTTTTGCAGATAACATGTTCAAAGGGGATGTCCCCAGCAGCGGCATTTGCAAGAATCTGTCAAAGGCTTCGTTTTCGGGGAATAAAGGCTTGTGCGGAAGAATAACAGGATTAAACTGCAAGATAAGAGGACACCTCGATCAAACAAACTTGCTGAACGCTTGGGGGCTTGGGGGAATTGTGATTGGGAGTATCTTCCTTGTCTTTGCAACTATTTTCTCTCTTCGCAGATGGGTAGTAATGAGAAACGTGAGGCAGAGAGACACCGAGAGAACAGAGGAATGCAGGCTGAAGGGTTTCATCGAGCCAAACCTCTATTTCCTCAGCGGCAGCAGATCAAAGGAGCCATTAAGCATTAACGTGGCTACATTTGAGCAGCCACTTCTCAAGCTGAGCCTAGCCGACATTCTTCAGGCAACAGACAACTTCTGCAAGAAGAACATAATAGGAGACGGTGGCTTTGGGACAGTGTACAAAGCTTCTCTACCCAGTGGCAAAACAGTGGCGGTTAAGAAGCTAAGCCAAGTAAAAACACAGGGAAACCGAGAATTCATTGCAGAAATGGAGACACTGGGGAAAGTGAAGCATCCAAACCTGGTTTCTTTGATGGGTTACTGTTCTTTCAGGGAAGAGAAGCTTCTGGTTTATGAATACATGAAAAACGGAAGCTTAGATCACTGGCTAAGGAACCAAACCGGGATTCTAGAGGTACTCGACTGGCCCAAACGGCTCCAAATCGCGACAGGAGCGGCTCGAGGGCTAGCCTTTCTCCACCACGGGTCCATCCCCCACATCATACACCGTGACATCAAAGCCAGCAACATCTTGCTGGACAACGAGTTCAAGCCAAAGGTTGCGGATTTCGGGCTGGCGAGACTGATAAGCGCCTGCGAGACCCATGTCAGCACGGACATAGCCGGGACGTTCGGGTATATACCACCGGAGTACGGGCAAAGCGGCCGAGCCACGACCAAGGGAGATGTATACAGCTTTGGGGTGATATTGGTCGAGCTTGTGACGGGGAAAGAGCCGACAGGGCCGGACTTCAAGGAAAGCGAAGGCGGGAACTTGGTGGGATGGGTGTTTCAGAAGATAAACAAGGGAAATGCTGCGGAAGTTCTGGACCCAATGGTTCTGACTAGGGTTTCGAAGCCGTCGATGCTTAGGGTCCTGCAGATCGCTGTTCTTTGCCTGGCGGAGACTCCGTCGAATCGCCCCGCCATGGCTGATGTTTTGAAGGCACTGAAAGAGACTGTGAAAGGCGGCGGCTTTGCTTAGGAGTGGCTGTTGTCGGGGTTTCTTGTTGTTGAAGTAACTGCTAACCAACCAAAAAAAAAAAGTGTGTTTAGGGGATTGTGAGGCTAAGTTAATCTTCTTATAACACACTATTTGCTCGTAAGGCAGCGTTTTGTTGTAAAACCAAATTGGGAGCCGACCAAACCCTAAAACGAAACAGAACCAACAAGTTAATCAAGATGCAAGTTACTGCTTGCGATGTGTAAATGAGATGTTCCCAGTTATCAACTCTCTCTTAATTTTTATTTCTATTTTTTTCAAACACAAATGAAAGGTCAAAAAGGGAAAAGTCCACTAGATACATTTGTGTGTATATATATATAAAAAGGGGCCTTTTGGATCTAATACTATATAGTCAATAATATCTTAATATAATTAAAAATGAGAGGGGGTTAGACTTGGAGAGGAGCGAGGAAAGTTCTTCCAAAAAACGGCACGTGTCTACGGGGGAGGGGAGAGGGCTGCGATCTGCTGCTTCGCGGCTGGAAACTTCTCAGCCGTCAATTGCACACTCTCTCATTGGCTATACCGTAATGCCGCCGCAACCACCGCGTCTCCTCGCTTTCCCTTCTCTCTCCTCCTCCGCCGTCGCTCGATTCTCCCGGCTGCCGCAAACTCAACGATATCGTCTTCTGCTGCTCCTCCGCCTTCTGGTCTCCACCGCTCCGGGTTCGTTTCAGGCCTATCGGGAAGCCGAACAGTTTCTGGCTCCCTTCGTCCTCGGACTCCGCCGCCGGTTTCTCTGTTTCGCCTGAAAACCGCTTAGCCGGTAGCACGTCGTGGTAACTGTTTTCGTATCGGTTGTTAGGGTGAGATCCGGCGTAATTGGTCATGAGGCTGAAGATGTCGTTGCACAGATTCTTCATCTGAGCTAGTTCGCGGTTGAGCTGAATATTTTGCTTCCGAAGCTTCTCGTTCTCCTCCACTAACTCCATCATTCCTCCGCCACCGCCGCTTCCCACCGTTTTGGAGTACCACGACGATGGGGAGATTACTTGTTCCTCCCCTGAATTTGATGGAGTTATAACCGGTTTTGCCGCCGCCGTCGGGATTCCCTGATCCGTCAACGGCAAAGATGCTCCCGTAACCGCCGGAGGAGATATTTTCCGGCGCTGAATCTCGCAGAGAAGCCGCTTCTCCCCTCTCCGGAAGCAATCGTTCGAGAACTCCCACCGATCCGGCACAACTTTCCTAAATCCCTAACGAAGATTTCGGACAAATGGAAATCAAAATCCAGAGAAGGAAGACGCACAAAAACATAATCGGATTTCGATTAACACGTACGTAAGTGTTGAGCTGGCGGACGAAGCTGGAGAAATTGTTGTGTTTGAAGTATCTGGGGAGCAAATCGCTGGCGAAAACCGTCGGATTCCAGACGACAAAGGAGGAACCGTCTTCGTTCCAGGAGATGACGTTGTCGAGGGAGTGATCGTCGACGAGCTGGTAAGTCTTCGTGAGGAACGGCGTCGGAACAGACCTCTGAGATTCGCCGCTAACCGTAGCCACGGCGTGGACGTTGTTGGTGTTGGTATGCTCCTCCGGACACGGAGCCATGGATTACCAAAACGAAGCGATTCCCTGATGGCGTTAGGGTTCGTCGTCAAGAAGCAGAAGATTCTGCAGAGAGAGATTTTTTTTTTTTTTTTTTGGGGGGGGGGGGAAAGGAAAAAGGGGAAAGAAAAGTGTAAAACGACCAGAAGCTGCGTAATGGTTTCGCCTTCAAGAAACTTCCTATGCATTCTTTTTCCTTTTTTTTTGTATTTCTTCTTTCTTTATTACTTTCCATTTTAGCCTCTTTTTTAAATTGCTTTCTTATGCATCGGAACTTCCCTTTTCGCATTTCTACCAGTTTCTTTATATGAGTTTATATTTTATTTAATTTTTTAATTGCCAAATTCTGGCACCACTTGTTGTAGTTCATCACTTGTCGCGGCTTGATTGATCGTATCCTATCCCGGTTTTTTTAATAATTAAAATCCATTTTTATGTAACAAATTCTATTTTGATCACTAGGACGTCATTTGTCACCCATCACGCAGTTATGTTCTAACAGGTTTTTACATAGAGATGCGTGTGATCCAAATGACTCAGTTTTATGGCCCATATCGGTCGTCATTCGCATGTAGAATGCACGTGTCCGTGTGCAAAGGTTTGGACATCATCATTCAAAGGCTAGATATAATATGAAACTCTCTAAGTTAAGTACGTAAATTTTTGTAAAACTATATAAGAAGAAAACAATTTTAAACTTTAACAAACTGGTTTATTACACAGAATGACATATAAAACACAAAATTTGAAATAGTATTAGGTTATTTAATGATCATTAAAGGTATTTTTAACAAACGGCAAAATTTAGGTTTTGAATAGAGATGACTTTTATTTTGGATTTTTGGTTTTAGTTTTTGGATTTTGGTTTTTAGTTTTTAGTTTTTGGTTTTTGGCTTTTGGATTTTATAATGGCCTTGAATGGTAGGAGGTTTTGGAGTTTTTAGAATCTAAAAACAAAAAAAAAAAACATTCAAGTTTTTACAAAATTACTTTTCCTAAAAACTTGGAAAGCCATTTTAGTGAAAAAATCAATGAAAAACCAAAAGCTACTTTTTTTGAGTTTTCAAATATTATAAAATCCAAAAGTAAAAAACCAAAAACTAAAAACCAAAATCCAAAAACTAAAACCAAAAACCCAAAATAAAAGTCATCTCCATTCAAAGCCAATATTTGAAAACTCAAAAAAAATAGCTTTTGATTTTTCATTGATTTTTTCACTAAAATGGCTTTCCAAGTTTTTAGGAAAAGTAATTTTGTAAAAACTTGAATGTTGTTTTTTTTGTTTTTGGATTTTAAAAACTCCAAAAACTCCTAACCGTTCAACAGATTGATATCAATGCTTGGTTCATGGTCAGACGTCAACACTAGGTCGGCAAAAAATCCAAAAACAAAAAACACACGTTCACATATATACACACGTTTGTACACAAATGCTTGTGTGTGTGTATATATATATATGAAATATGTACGCACCTATACAGAATCTAAATTAGATTCCAATCCTACAGCTAAGCTTTTGAATGATGATAACAATAATAATATTCATTACTAATATATATATATATAAGGAAATTCCACTGAAATACGGAAGTGAATACTGCCTCCAGCAAAATCCTTACTACACGCAAAGACGCTTCAATTTATGTACACTGGAAATACCTATAACAACAATAATAACAAGACCTCCACACCCATCGGTGTAATAATATAAGGGCATTCCACGTTTTCATTCAGCTATATATATATATTATTTATAATGCCAAAAGAGATACTAAGCTAAGGCCCACGAAATACTTCCAAAATTGGATTTTCTTTATATATATACACACCCGTAAATTCAGAGGAGCTTGCAGAGTGAGTGTGTGGTCTGAGATTAAGGGGAGAAAGGGGTGGAGACGGTAGTTTCAATTGCACTTTGCTCCTTCTTCACTCCCTCGACTCCTGCACCACCACCACCACCACCATCATCATCATCATCATGTAAGTATGCCCTATAAACTTTTACAATATTCTATTCGAACCATACCGTCACAAAATTGTCATGCATTTATTTGTTCTCTTTTACCTTGGCATGAATGCTGGCCTTTCTTGACATTATTCGATGCAGACTTGGCGTCGGATCCTTCTGCAACAGCTGCATCTTCCTCGCTCCTTGCATTCAGAGCCCCCGGGTTCATCTTCCGCACTTCCTCTTTTGTGTATATGAATATCTTCCTTACCATGCAACAAAACTCCCTGCCATTTCATACCAATGTGTCTTAAGAGGTGAAATTTTAGACACAGCAAACCAGGTTTGAGATTCCGAAAAGGCGAAAACTAAAAAAAAATCTTACTGCCATGGATCGTCTCCGACAAGCATCATATCTCCCTCATCATCTGTGTAAACAATCAACCATTCCTTCTTCAGAGCAGCCATTAACTCCCCATTAAACTCAAACAACCTATCGAGCTCAGCCACTAACTCACTGTAGTCATGGAACTTTGACAGATCCACTGACCGACCGAGTGCAATTCCTTGCTTGTGAACCTTCAAACCAACACACACACATATATATGTTAGGCTACGGGCTTCAAGAATTCTTACTTCAGATTGTTTGATGGAAATTGGAATTACCTTCGTGCAACTCCTCGTTGAATTTGATTTGCCATGCGCAGTTTCCGGCTGATGGATCTGACCAGTCTGTGGTTGTCTTCCCACCTGCTCGGTTCGTGGGTCCTTTGTTGATTTTAGTACTTTAGATTTATCAGATTGATCCAGGACCTTTGGCGATAAGATCTGTGTCTGAGACACTTGCTCTGTCGGCTCTGTCTCAATCGAGTGACTGACCAGTGGAATGCCAAAAAGCCTGCAGTTTCCATCTCTTGATTTTCCAGTCTCTTTCTCTTGTCTCATTGCAGGTTGCTTTGCCACATGCTCCCTAATCTGAGCCATATCCTCAAAATAGTTCACTGCATGAGGAGGCATTGGCCAGTTCCCACAAGCATTCTCAACCATGGTGGGACCATGAAGCACTGGATATTCTTTAGATCTGCCATATTTAACGTTGACATGTCCATGGAATGAGGCATCGCCAACAAAAGGTACCTTTGATGACTCGGGCAACTTGAGAGAAAGGCCAGAGTGAATCAATGGCCACTGGTTACCGACGTAATCGAACTTGCCATCCTGACCACCCAATGGTTTCTTCGTAGGACCAGAAGGTCGCACCGAATGGTCAGTAAAAGGCAGCCGGTGATTGTGGGATGTATCAACGTTTGACCCAAATCCAGAAAGTAAATCTGTATAAGTCGGCTCATGCCTCCCCGATGACATCCAGTTCTCAGATCCATATCTTCTAGACACAGAAACCACAACCCTATCATCATCTACAGAGGGCGGCCAGACAGCAGAATTCTCGGGAGCATTGCACTCAACACTCTCTGTGAGTTTCCCTCTCAAGGACGAGTAATCTTGGCCTTGCAAGACCCTTGAAAGTCCACTTGCAGGTAAAGGGTCCATGGTTGCCTTAGATGAGCCTGTTTAAAACAAAAAAGAATCAAAATGTAACCCATCCATGCTCTGAGGGGATTCAGTTTCAATCCTCATTGCTAGGCCGACAAAATTGTGTGGGAAAATACCTTCACGAGTAAGCACTGAAGAATCAGGAGATGATGGCGCAATGGTAGGTCTGGGCCTCTTTGGCCTCGGCATCGGGACAGGACTCAGAGCAGGAGGTGCAAGCGCAGGCTCTATCTTCCAAGGAGATACACGATCAGGTCGAGGAATAGTAGAGGTTTCATCCCATCTTACCTGAAATATAACTGGACATTATCACTCGTTCTCTACAAATAGTACTCTGGATCCTACTAAGAAAACATGTCACAATGTACCTTGAGGGATCTCCACTTAGAGTTTGGAAATCTTTTGGGATCGGCGTCTTCAAACCCGACAACTGTTCCAGTAAACCTAATTTAATAAATAAAGTCGTTATGGTCTGTCCTTTGCAAGGAATCACTTTGACAAGCAGAAACATATGGATAGGTAGAATGTGGATATCATACAAATAACTTAGCTATGGTATATTAGGATGTAAATATTATGAATAGATAAATGAAAGGGAGAGCAGCTCGTCGTCCTACCTTTGCTCAGGAGACTCTTCGCCTTCGAATCTCATTTTGAACCTCATACCTATGGTGTAGTTATTCTTGACAGACTCCATGTACTGATCAAATGGAACAATAAACTCAGACGGACTCTTCCTGTCACAAACAAACAACAGTTTACAACTAAGAAAACGGGGGAAAACATGAAGCATCAGATATATCAAGAAACATAGTTTATAACTAAGAAAACAACACAGCTACAAAGCTCAAACCTTGGCTTGTAATAAACTGTAAACATAGTCTTCGTCAAGTAGGCGTGCCATGCAGTAGCCAGTACGCCAAGATGCATGCTGTGGCTAGATATAACAGAAGATGGAACATTTCCCTGCTGTCTCATTGCCCGCCTCACTCCAACACGTAGTTCCCCATTCTCACCCCTATAGATGCATTTAAAGTCCTCTCTTTTCAACAAAAAACATGACAGAGACAAGAACTGAGGCCAAGACAGCAAGTGTATTATGCTGCTAACTCGTATACCTCAGAAATATGAATGCATCTCCTGCAACAAGCCGCTTGGAGCTAACGAACACACTCCATCCGCTCTGGAGCAAATGCCTCCGTGGTTGACCTGGTATGACATACACACAAACATCAGAAGCCGCAGAAATATTACTGTGTAGACCGCATGTATTAGCCCGTACCTCGGAAGATATGCCTGAAACGCCACTCATTTCTATGCAAGTCCTTAGCAACTAGCTCCTGCGTTGGAGGTTGTCGTGACATATCCTGAAGAGATAAAAAAGCACTCCATCTCGGCACCCAACACAGTAGATATGGAGAAAAAGACAAGCTTGGATCTATATCACAACTTCAGCACTAACCAGAGGCGGAAGGCATTCATCGGCATGGCGTCTAAGCACAGAAAACCCACCGTGCGTACTTGTGTCCGATGCAGTCAAGGTCTTGCAAAACGAGTGCACCTGGAACCTTGGAGGCGGTGGTGGAGGCGGCAATGTCTCGACTGCAGCCTCATCTTGCTGAAAGATAAAACAGAAAAAAACAAACATCAGCGTTGCAAACACGACAAGATCATTATGCTGCGCTTAAACACCGATTAGAAGTAATGGCTTACGTTAGCCTCAGGAATCAGAGTAATTTGGGCAAACACTTCATCGGTATCTGGCTCTGCCTGTGAAACAAAAGATAACAATCCAATATTAGCATACGATGCAAGACTTGATATTAAAAACTTGCCCATAAAGAGATAACCATTCGTACCTTCAAATCTACGTTAATCACCCGACAAAGGATCTTCGACGGAAGTTCATAAACCGGCATCTGCTGCTCTGTTCCCGGACTCGTCGATGCCTCCACCTAATCACCAAGTAAAACCAGATTAAACCAAAGAGAAGATCGGAGAGAACAACCAACACATTGAACATCAACAACATTATCACCACTTGAAACCCAGACCCGAAAGATGAAACAGAACCTGTTCGATGTGTCCCTGAGGGAAGTAGAAGACACGATCGTCTTTTCTGGGGACGGTCACTAGCGGACCGGCGCAGGCATGCCATAGCTCCCTGTAAAGCGCAGCCTCAGGGTCGACTGACATAAGAACCACGAAATCAGAACACGAGATCACCGACATCTGAAATAAAAAAAGACGAGCTGACTACGACTAGAACAAGACATACCGACAGCAGATCGTGTAGAATGATTCTTCTGCCCCTCGCCGGCGGTGGCGTTCCTCGCCTCTTTAGGGTCGCTGTAACCCGAGGAGAGGCCATCTCCGTTACCGTGCATGGGATTTCCCTTCATCGAAACCTCCGAAGTCGCCATTTCTCAATGTTTTCTAAGCTTAGATCTGTTTCATCTGAATCCAAAACAGCTTCTAAATGGCAAAAAACTCTCAGGAACTTCTCAGATCCAGCTCGCCTCTACCAGAAACCAGATAAAAATCACAGAGCGTGCTCGATACTGCAAATTCAACTTCTCTACCCCTCTCACACGTTCACCACTCCCTCAGCTTCTCTGCACACGTACCGATGAAACTGCCACAAAGAAAAACCCTAGAATCGAAGGAGGGAACACCAAATTCTCCTCAAATTTCCTTGATTTATGCTCAACCCTCCTATCTTTCTCTCCCTCTCTCCACTTCTCTCTCTCTCGTCGCCTTCTATCTCTTTATCTCTTCAGGTATCAGATTGCAGGTGACAGAGCTCGTACATCAACAGGCCTTCCTCCCTTCTAGCTTTCTCTCTCTACTTTCTCTCTCTTATTTCTTCTTCTTCCTCTCTCTCTCTCTGTTTCTGTGTGTGTGACGACCACGGCTTAACCAGAGTGGTCAAAACTGAGCTTCAATCATTTTAACAGCGGTCAATTTCTAACCGTAGCGGAAACCGGCATTCACCGGTGGCCAGACCCCTTTCACACCGGCTACTCCCGGTTGTAACCATTTCCGGGGGACCAGGATAGCGACCATAGAAAGACGAAAGACAATCGATGAATTATTTTCCTTTTTTATTACGAAAAATTGATGATTTATTTTCTTTCTATATCAATTAATTTAATGTTTTTACTCATTTTACATTTACTTTTTAAAAATCTATAATCATCTTTTTTTTTTCCTCAAACAAGTCACGTTCAATATAACGGGTGGTTATGACCCCAAAAAAATAATCTGAAATCTATTATCTTCATGCAACTGTATTTGATTAAATTAATAATATAACTATTGTGGACAAAAGAAACCTAGAAATATATATACTTTCTACAAAAGAAAAGGGAAAATTTTCAAGATAATCCAAATACGGTATGCACGTAACGTAACCATCGGTTGAAATTTGGGGGGAAAATGATGTGTTTTCATTTAATATTTAATTAATTAATGTTTTTAGAAGAGACTAACGGCGTCAACGCCGCTGCGAAAACTTGTCGAGAAAGGATTGGATAGAGAGGTAACGGCGTTTGTCAAACAGCGTCAGTGGGGAAGCTGCTCTGTTTTTACATGGGAAGTGGCTTTGTCGCGCTGTGAACGGGCAAGTCCGGATGGACGTAGAATGGAGGTGCCGAATAGAGACATGACACCTATCGGCGTATTTTAGCGTCTTCCAGACTTCTCGCTGTCTATTTCCTCCGAATCTTCCCTCCACCGTGCGCCTCTCGCGCCTTCTCGTGGCGAGATCTATAATTATTTAATTAACTTGTTCCATTGTGGAAAATTAAATTATAAATATATTCCTACAAAATATGCCACATTAACTGCAGGCCGAAACAATATTACATTTCAATTCCATTTTTATTTTTATAGTTAATTTGGTTCAAAGATAATATAAAATAGATTTTAAATCAAATTTAAATAAAATATATATGTGATTTGTTTTTGTACAATTAATAGCCTAACAGAACTATATTTTATAACATGACTGTTTTCGATGGGCTTTTTTTCTTCCAAAAATGGTATTTCTTGTGAATATGTATTTTAAGCACTAAACCTATGGGATACAACTACAGGAGTCCACAAAATCCACTATTGCTAATATTGGTACGTAGCATTATAATTCCACGGAAACCTGTAATTGCTATGTTAATTTTATAACAGCGATAGAAATTAATCTGCGTATTGATTAGGCGTTACAAATAATTATTTCCTAAAACCAACATCATGATACTTAGGGTTTTATTCGTGTTATTATTTAATCTGTCCTTTTTTAAGAACTACACGATACATGATATATATGAGAAATACGAATTCACGTGTTGTCGCGGCTAGAGATAAGCCGAGTGGGTGGGTCCCATCTGTATGGTCTAAAGCAACAAACTGCAGGAATCTTTGTCAACCTTTATTTATTTTATTAGTCTTCTTTCTTACCCTAAAAGTCTTACACACACGACACGGATATATATATATATAATATACATAATAAATTATGTATATTTTCCTCTAAATGATTCCCCGATAAAATGTTTTTTTAGGCTGCGGCCTGCGGGTTGTTCAGTATTATTATCATTAGATATAAGATTTTTAGATATTAAAAAAATAGGTAAAAAATCAATATAAAATATTAACTTCTAGTGGAAAAAAGGATTATATAGCTTAGTTTAAGGGAGAATGATATTCATGTATTTGATTTCATTATAATATTTTTTTGTGATTGTTTAATATGTCTCCCATTTTATTTTCTCCACTGTAAATTATAGACAAGTTACATGTTTGTTGATTTTTTTGTATCCATCTAAATAAAAAAAAATTGTACCTGAAAAATAAACATGTATTGTAACGTTATCAAATATATATATATTTTTAAATTTTAAAACAGGTATAGACATAATATCTTCGACATATGTGTAGTCGTAGATATAATAAACACACGTGAGGTATATGTGTTTCTGGTTGTAATAACGCAAACGTGCCGATGTTGGAGATTCATAAAACTGAATTTAATTTTTTTTTTTTTTTTGTTCTATGATTTGGTACAAGTTGGAGACTTCTACTTTTCTACAAAGAAAAAAACGAGCAAAACGTGTCATTTTCGTTCGTGGTCATGCAACACCTATAGCCCATGTTGGTCACTGTAAATTTTTATAATGAGAGAAATACAATCCAAATATGTAATTGATATAAATTTTACCATCTGAAATATATATTTCATCGTAAAATTCCACTTAAAAAAGTCTTATTTATTGGACAAATTCTATAAAAAAAATAATGGGTAAAAAAATCTGTAGCACGTGGGGCCTACACATGTCAGGTGATTAAGGAACACTAATCCAGGAAGTGGGGTCACGCCTTCCCTGCTTCCCCACTCCTAATCTCTCCCCTCTTTGAACCCTAACCGACAGACCAACCCCCATCCTCCCTTTTTCCTTAATTTATAATTATCCTCTTAATTAATTTGATTAATCTCTAGTTGTTGCGTCTTTATCCCCCGTGCCACGTCATCACGCACTTGCCCTCTTCGCAATCAGGTGGAGCACACGCGCTCACGAACGCCATGTGGCGGACTTCAAACGGTTTTATCCAATTCGATTCATAAAAAAATATATATATGTTTGAAAGCGGCATGATTTGGCTCCTGCGATCTGATTGGCGGACTTCAAATCATTTTATTCAATTTGGTTCATACTTTGAAAAAAACCACGTAGAGTGATAAGCCGGTTAGTGGGGAACAAATGGATAAACGCCACGTGTACCATGGACACGTGGGTCTCCACACAAGAACGCTGAATTTACTTTCTTTTTCTTTTTTTTTCCTTAGTTTGTGCTAACTACGTCTAGTCACGAACGTTGCGTGACAGCCGTTGGATGAGGAGCGGATACTGACGTCATAATTTCATTCGTCTATTTTTTATATTTATTTGTTTTTATTTTCAGATTTTATTTCTCTTTTTCAAGTGTTTTTAGATTTTGGGAAAACAGTGGTAATAAAAAATAGTATTGTAAAATTTAATTTATGTTTACGGATCTCCTTTCTCGTGTCGGATGTTTGGAGAGTCTATATATATATATATATACATCTATAAATTATATTTCAAAACTAAGCTTAAATATAAAATTTATGTGGATAATGGCAAGGGTGGTTAGCTCAACTGGTAAGTGGATATGCGCAAAGAGTGCTTTACCTAGGTTCGAATTCCACTCTTGGCAAATCACATATTATCAAAAAAAAAAAATTATCTGGATAATATAATTTCACAGTCAGTCCACATGGCAGAATTAATTAAAATATATTAAAGTATCATAATTTGATTAATCATATGGATTACGGGAAAGTCACTAGAAAAGATAAACATCATGTAAACATAATATTTTATGAGAAATGTATCCAATGTGCATAAACATAATGAATAATTTGTAGAAAGATCGTATTTAATGTTACTAGGAATGACAAATACAATCATCGAATTAGCTACCCAATTAATGGATGTTAATCTCCGTTAAAAGTAAATGTTAAAATCATTTTCTAATAAATAATTAATAATTATATCCAAAACCAAATTATATATATATTACTAGCTTCTTTTGAAAAGTGTTAAAAAGCAAACCATCCAACTGTACGCTTCCATCTTCCTTAACATTTATGATCTGTCACATCAATCGAATCTTCAATTTAATTATTATTATTATTATTATTATTATTTGCTAAATTTATTTGATTATGTATGTACCGTAAAAACTAATTTTATCCAATCCAGTAAACTTATACATTAAATTTGCAACAATATAAAATACGGTCCATTCAAATCAAATTGATTTAAAAATAATGTAAGGCATTAAATAAATAATATTCAACGCATTCTTGTATGACCAACAAGAGAACAAAGAATTAGACCGACGGGTTATTTCCAAGATAATTTATAATGTTTGTTTTTAAATTTTTGTTGGGTATAAGATAATCTATAAAATATACAAACCATTAGGCTGTGAATTTGATTTATGTTTATTATGCCAAGTGTTTCGTATTCTGCCTTTGACCAAAGCCACGTGTCGATTATTTTTTGGTTATATTTTTATTTAAACGTAGGTTAAGTGCAAAAATCCCTCATTTGGTTGGTCAGATAAAATCTTAAATTCGAAACTCTCCGACAGTGCTTCCATGATGTCGCGAATCATTATAAATCATGGTATTAGGTTTGAATAAAAATAATAATAATTCAAAGGATAACAATTTTTTATTAGTTTATTTTGTTTACTTGTTGTATCATCGTTTATTTTATTGGATGGCGGATTGAGTTATGAAAACTAGGATTTGTAATTCTGTATCCAACTTTATTAATATCAAAATACAAGCAGCTAATCGAGACTAATAAAACAGAATGCATAATTTTCTAAACGTTAATTATAATTTATTATTTTATTTCGTATATCTCCTATATACGTATGTTGAGAATTTAATGGAGTTTATTTTGAACCTTATTTGACTACGAAATTTACAAATTAAGTTATCGATTTATACTTTTGAAAGCAGTGTTATGTCATGATTATAAGTTGTGATAATTAAGGGGGAAAATATATATTTGAAGAATTGAGTGTTTGTTGGGTTACAAGGGATTTAAATAAAATTTTATTCGATAGAAGAAAAATGCATGCGTGAAAAATGGGAGCCGACGCGCAAAGTGCTGGTCACCAAACCCACAATCCCGTAAGCAAATTAACGCCCTCTAAATTTATTATTATTTTTTTGGGTAAATTAAATTATTATTATTATTATCATTATCGTCTGACCCAAATGTATAGTCTGCATAAAGACATATCTACATGATTTCACAAACCAGCGTGTATTATATCACCACGAATAGGAAAAAAATATGATTGGAGTATGAACAATATAATAAAAATATTGAATATTCATTTCGTTTTATTAAAAACAAATAATACAGAACCAAGGCGCATTATTTTTTTGATGCGACTTTGTGGAAATAGTTGTGCAAACATGCAACATCTGTAAATTTCATCACCGTTACAAAAAAAAAAAAAAAAAACATCTGTAAATTTGTTTACTACAACTAACACGTAAAGAAATTGCGATAGTATAATTTCATACAAATCCCATGATTATAAATTAAATATAATGAAACGGTCAAACCATGGATATATATATATATAGTAAACATTCATGCACCATTTTCACATTTTTAGTGGGGGGGGGGGGGAGCACACGCGCTCACGAACGCCATGTGGCGGACTTCAAACGGTTTTATCCAATTCGATTCATAAAAAAATATATATATGTTTGAAAGCGGCATGATTTGGCTCCTGCGATCTGATTGGCGGACTTCAAATCATTTTATTCAATTTGGTTCATACTTTGAAAAAAACCACGTAGAGTGATAAGCCGGTTAGTGGGGAACAAATGGATAAACGCCACGTGTACCATGGACACGTGGGTCTCCACACAAGAACGCTGAATTTACTTTCTTTTTCTTTTTTTTTCCTTAGTTTGTGCTAACTACGTCTAGTCACGAACGTTGCGTGACAGCCGTTGGATGAGGAGCGGATACTGACGTCATAATTTCATTCGTCTATTTTTTATATTTATTTGTTTTTATTTTCAGATTTTATTTCTCTTCACCATTTGTTTTTTTCCCCTCTAAGGAACGCCAATATATGTAAAATATATTTATATTGGTCGTAAAAAAAAAGTATTTACCCACGTGGAATTTCGGGAAAAAAAAACAGTCAAAACATATTGGTTCTTCATATACAAAATTTTCAACTTTACTGATAAAGTCTTTCAACACGTTTCAATCGAAGACCACTAAATAAAACGCGGGAGACATCATTGGAAGAATTGTTTTACGGTGCATTTTATTGTTAAATCTAATTGAATTCATTAATATATAATCATATCGAATTTTATATAACTTTAAAACAAGTAATTAATCCATTTAAATCCAACACAAATGATAAAAAAATATGAACGGAAACGGGTGAGAGTTGCATTTGTGATTTAAAGAATAAAAATGATTGATAATTGGGACTATAAACATATGATTCATTTATTAAAATAAACATTTTAATTATTTTTACTGTCACTAATACACAATTAGATTCGTGGAGGTTATTAGGTGCGTTAAAAGTCCAAAATATCAAATAGTTATGGGCCCAATGTGTAAAAAGCCAGAATATATGGGCCTTATCAGAATTAAGGCCCATTAAAATTTCACTCAACGACGTCGTATCAAGGTCCATCGTCGTCGTTCTGACGGCGCCGCGGTGCTTCTCAGTTGCTGTCTTGTTCCGTTTCTGTATCCATTCACCAGTTTGCGGACGATGCGATCTACGTTTTGCATGAGCAGACGAGTGATGGCGAGAACCAATCTTCTTCTGCTCCGATCGTTTTCTTTTCATACCGGAAGTTTCTCTGACGCGTCAGCTCAAATCGCGGCCATTCTTAACCAGGGAAACTGGCACGAGGCGTTGCAGTCGTCGAACCTTTCCAACGAGATAAACCCAGATGTTGTTCTCTCCGTTATTCGATCCAAGCGCGTCGTTGACCCCGTTCGGCTTTTGGGTTTCTTTAACTGGGTTGATTCTCAGAAGGGTGTGGAGCAGAAACTGGATTCCTTTTCGTTTCTTGCTTTAGTTCTGTGTAATTCTGGTAGTTTTGGGCAAGCTCATAATGTTGCACTTCGGATGATTGAGAAACGATTGCCGATCTCTGAGATTTTGGGCTCGGTTGTGAGATGCCATAGAGAATTTGCAGGAAGTAGCAATGGAGTTTTGTTCTGGGTTCTGATTGATGGGTACATTTACAAAGGGTTTCTGGACGAAGCTGTTATAGTGTTCTGTAGCACCAAGGATGTCGAGCTGGTTCCTCGTTTGGCTCAATGTAATCATTTGTTGGATGCGTTATTGAAGAAGAATCGGCTGGATTTATTTTGGGGTGTGTATAATGGGATGGTTGAAAGAAATATAGCTTTGGATGTTTTCACTCATGAAAAGTTGATCGACGCACATTGCAGGGCTGGAAATGCTAAAGAGGCAAAAGAGATTCTTCTGAAATTGGAAGGAAAGCTGGGAAATGCAAGTGTGACTGCGTATTGTTTGGTAATTGATGAGTTGTGTAAAACGGGGAATCTTGATGAAGCGCTCGAGCTGAAGAAGGCAATGATTGGCAAAGGGTTTGTGCCACTGAAACGAATATATAATGTACTTATAGATGGATTATGTAAGCGAAAGAGATTAAAAGATGCAAACTTGATGCTGGAAGAGATGCATAGCTTTGGTGTGTGTCCTGATAATGTTGCCTATGATATCTTTGTTGATGGGTTACTAAAGGATGGAGCTGTAGAAGCTGGGGTTGATCTGAATAAAACGATGGCTTCCCATGGAATCAACATTAATCCTATGATGTATGATGGCTTTATATGTGCAATGTCAAAGGTAGGGGAGATGGAGAAGGCAAAGGCTCTGTATGATGAGATGATCTCATTAGGAATATCACCAACTGGTCGGGTTTCTACCTTTTTGATTCAGGGTTACTTTCGACAGAAGAAAGTGGAAAAGGTATTTGAGTTACTCATTGAGATGAAAGGGTGGAACATTGAAATAACTCCATACACTTATGGTGTTGCAGTGATTGGATTGTGTGGCTCTGGAGATCTCGATAGAGCACATAACATTGTAAAGGAAATGGTTGAAAACAGCCACAAACCAAATGTGGTTATCTATACAACTCTGATCAAAAGCTACCTCCAGAAGAGTAGGTTCGGAGATGCAGCAAAGGTGTTAAAAGAGATGAAGGAACAGGGTATTATGCCTGATACCTTTTGCTATAATTCTCTCATAATTGGCCTTTCAAAGGCCAAAAGGATGGAAGAAGCAACATGTTATCTGGCTGAAATGGTCGAGAGTGGACTTAAGCCAAATGCATACTCCTATGGAGTTCTTGTTCAAGAGTATATAGAGGCAGGGGAGTTTACAGTTGCAGAGAAGTATATGAAAGAGATGTTGGGATGTGGTGCAATTCCAAATAAAGTCATTTACACAGATTGGATCAGAGGATACTGCAAAAAGGGAAATATAACAGAGGCAGTTTTGATGTTTAGGTCCATGCTTGAACTAGGGATAGAAGGGGATGCTAAGACGTACACTGTTCTTCTGAGCGGTCTTGTTAAAAATGGTAAACTTAAAGATGCAGTGGAGATTTTCTCAGAGATGCGTGAAAAGGGCATAAGACCTGATGCCATTGCTTACAGTACACTCATCGATGGGTTTTCTAAGTTGGGAATTATGCACGAGGCTACTCGTATTTATAGAGAGATGGTTCAAGAAGGTTTGACTACCAATGTCATCACATGCAATACGTTACTCGGCGGTTTATGCAAATCTGGTGAAATCGAGAGAGCTAAGGAACTGCTTGATGGAATGTGGGGAAAAGGCTTGTCCCCCACTGTGGTGACTTATTCTATAGTTATTGATGGGTGTTGCAAATATGGGAATTTGGCAGAGGCTTTTCGGTTATTCGAAGAGATGAAACTAAAGGGGCTGGTGCCTGATAGTTTTGTGTATACAATACTTGTGGATGGATGTTGCAGAATGAATGATATGGACAGGGCTCTGACCCTCTTCTTGGAGACAATCGATAAGGGCTGTGCCTCCATAGCCTCTTTCAATGCTTTGATCAATTGGGTTTGCAAGTTAGGAAAAGTAGAATTGATAGATAAGCTAATGGATGGGAGGTTTGATAAGCATGTGAAGCCAAATCGTATAACTTACAGTATTCTGATTGATTATTTGTGCAAGGAAGAAAACCTGGATGCTGCGGAAGAGTGCCTCCGTGAGATGCAAAAGAAGAATCTGATGCCAAATGCTGTATCTTATACTCCCCTCCTATACGCTTATGATAAAGTAGGTAAAAGATACAAGATGTTCTCTCTTTTTGATGAGGCTGTGGCTAAAGGCGTTGAACCCGACAAAGTAATGTATGGTGTTATTGTTAGTGCACTCTTGAAGGAAGGGAAGCTGACAAAAGCAATCATGATCATGGATCAAATGTTTGCCAGGAGCACTGTTTTGCATCAAGATCTTTTCGATTTACTAGTTGAAGTTCTTTGCAGGAACCAGGAAGAGTTACCAGTTTCTAAGTTGCTCGCGGAGATTACAGATAAAAGGTGTGAGCTAAGTGTTACTACATGCTGTGTTCTACTCTCTGGTTTGTCTGAAGCCAGAGGAATGGAGACGGCAGAGAAAGTTATGGAGGACATGATTCGATTGGAATGCATTCCTGTCGACAGTT